CGCCGCGGCGCGTCCGTCGCCGTCGCCGTCGCCGTCGCGCGCGGCGTCCGCGCGGCGCGTCCACGCGTCGTCGCGCCGCGCCTTCGTTAGATTCGTCGTCGTCGTCGGCGGCGGCGGCGGCGGCTTTCCGCCGCCGCCTCCTCGTCGTCGTCGGTCTCGTCGCGTGCCGTCGCTGAGCAGGTCGCCGTCCCCCAGCATGGACGCGCGGTCGTGCTCCGCGCGCTCCGCGGCGTCCGCGCGCGACGAGACGGAGTCCATCAACGTCGTCGTCGTCGCCGAAGGTTTTCGTCGCTCGTAGGCGTCTCGCCGCGTCGGCGTCGGCGTCCGCGGCGGCGCGGGCGTTAGGAACGGGTTGCCGCTCGCGCCGCCGCCGTAGTCGCCGCCGTAGTCGACGAACGACGCGGCGTCGTGCTCGCGCACGACGCGCACGGTCACCGCGTCCGCGTCCATTGCGCGCGCGCGTCGTCGACTCCGACGCGGATTCGCTCGCGCGCGGAAAACGCCGCCCTCTGATGAACCTGAAAACGTCCTTTCGGCGTCGTCGTTTCGGAGACGGCGAGGGCCGCGCTTTTGAGCACCGGTCAACGCGAGCGTTCGCGATGAAAACGCGCATTTTATCGATGAAATCGCGTACTACACTCGCTTTTTTCTCGTGCAGTTCCCGGTCAGCGGAGCGAGGCCGGGGAAGCGGGGATCACGACTTCACATCTTTCACGCGACCTCGTGCGCATTATCCGCGGCTCGCGCCGCGTCCAGGGTCGGACGCGCGCGGATGGACGGCGGCGACCGCGCGGTCCGCGGCGGGCGCGCGTTCGCGGGGACCGTCGTCGTCGCGTCCCCCGTCGTCGCGTCCACGACGTCGTCGTCGTCGTCCGACGACGACGGCGGCGGCACCCCCGACGACGCGAAGGGACGAGATCATTCGTCAGACGCTCTGCGCGGCGGCGTTCGCGAAGAGCGTCGTCCTCGCGCGCCGCGCGCGGAGCCCGCGTCGTGCGCGGCGCCGTCGTCGCCGTCGTCGCCGCCGCCGCAGCCGCGGTCGATCCTCGTGACCCGCAGCGCGAGGTCGTGGTCTGCCGCGGGCGCGGGCGCGGCGGGACCGACGCACGCGCAGCTCGCGTCCATCTGGCACGCCCACGGCGACCGACTCGTCGCGCTGGACGAGCGAAGGCCGAGCCCGGACGTCACGCCGCTCGCGACGCCGGACGTGAGCAAGTACGGCGCGGACGACGCGTGGCTGTTCATCCGCGACAACGCCGCCGGCGCGTCCGACGACGGGGGACGGGGAGGAAGCGCGAGCGGCGGCGGACGCATGCGAAGGTCGTCCTCGGTCACGTTCACGGAGGACGAAAACTTTGAGGTGCACGACATCGGCAGCGTCCGCGACTTGCGCAGAGAGAAGGGGATAAAAAAGAGCGGCTCGTTATCCTCCCTCACGGAAGCGCTCGCGGCGAGCTTCAAGCACCTGAGCTACAAGTTTTCGAAGAAGGACGAGGAGACGAAGGCGGATAACCGGGTCGCGAAGGCGCGGTTGAAGCAGTCGCGCGGTTTCATGTGCGACAACATCGACCACGCGCGGTCGATGAACGGGGACAAACCCGCGTGGGTGACGCGAGAGGAGAGCGTTCGGGGCGGGACGAAGCTCCTGAGGGTCGCGTCGACGCCGCAGTTGTCCGAGTCGTACGCGACGACGTCCGCGCCGAGAGGAAGCGGCGGCGCGGACGGGGGGGGAGGCGAGGAAAGGGGGAGCGACGGATGCGACGACGACGGAGAGGGGGCGGTCGTCGCCGTCGAGCGATGAGAAGCGCGCGCGTAGGGACTAGACCGCGAGACGCGACGTGAGTAGCATACTGTACCGTAGGGCTATATAACGGTTTCGACCTGAGCATGCTGTGCTATGAGCTAGAGAAGAATACCCACGGACGAGCGCTGGCGAGCTACGAGACGGAGATGCTCCGCCGCCGCGTCGCGCGTCGCGCGTGATCCCGTCCGCGCGCCGTCCGCGTTCGCACGCACGCGCGAAGGGCGAGGACGGCGGCGAGCGCCGCGGCGCCGCGGAACGACCGGCGGCGGCGTCGGTCCGTCCACGAGGACGGCGACGATTTCGGTTTGTCGTCTTTCGCCGCCGCCGCCGCCGCCGCCGCGTCGTCGTCGTCGTCGTCGTCGTCGTCGTCGTCGCGTTGCGGATACCCGCTCGCGGTGAGGTACCGCAGAACGTCCGCCGACACCCCGTTCGCGTAAGCGATCCAGAAGTCGCGATCCGCGGCGAGCCACGACGGCACCGGCGGCGCCGGAGTGCGCGTCGCCGACGCGTCCCTCCTCGCGTCCTCCTCGTCGTCCTCCTCGTCGTCGCGCGCGAGGACGCCGACTTGGAAGTCTCTCAGCTGCCTCCACGCCTTGTCCGAGTGAATCTCCTCGAACTCCGCGGTCGCGTCCTTCCCGAGCATCCGCGCGATCGCGAGCGCGGTGCTCACCTGCCCCGCGTTGTTGAACCCCGGGTGCGTCGTCGCGAACGCCGAGATGTCGTAGACGCGTCCGTTCACCGCTATCCACCCGTCGCGCAGCGTGCGATGCGACGACACCTCGCGCATCGAGAGCTTCCTCCACGGCGCGCGCGAGGTCTCGGAGGGGAGGGACTTGAGCTCGGAGACGACGCGCGCGTCCGAGGCGAGGTCCTTCCCGGGAGGCGGGAGCGCGGTCGCCTCCGCGGCGGTGGACGACGACATCGAAGGGGCGCGCCGCGCTGGAGGGCCCCGCGAAGTGACGGCGTGCTGTGCGTCGGGCCGAGATCCACTCAGCTGAAGCGAGATTTCGCGTTTGAAAAACTTTGAAACGCGATAGGACCTTTCAAATGTTCTTTTCGCCGTTCAGCGACGCGCAGACCCCTATGAAAATCTGTATCGAGAAAATCGACGCGGTCCGGTGAACTGGAGACGCCCGCGCGCGCGCGAAACGTTACGGAAAGACCTGAAAGGACCAACCCGAAAAACGACAACCCCGGGTTTTCTGTCGAAGGGTTTGCTGTCCCGCGCGCGCGTCTCTCCCACCGCTCGCACGCGAGTCATCATGGCGCAACTCGTCGTCCCCGCGGTCGCCGCCCTCGCGGGCGCGCTCGCCGGCAAACACATCACCGAAAGCAGGAGCGGCGCCAAGAGCGAGAAGAACGAAGAAACCTCCGTCGCGTTCAACGCGGACGCGCATCAAAACTACGACCACGAGGCGGACGCCCGCAGGCACAGACATCTCGCGCAGCAGTGGCCCGAGGCGCGTTCGTCGATCGTCGTCGTTCGCGTTCGGTCTCTTTTCTCTCTCCCCCCCCCACGCATCGCGTCGACTGACGCGCGTCCTTCCGTCCTTCCTTCCGTCTCCCCCCGTCGCCGCGACAGATCCACGCGGACGACGTCAAGACGCCGGATAACTGGGTCCCGCGTCACCCGAACCTCATCCGTCTGACCGGGAAGCACCCGTTCAACGTCGAGGCGGACCTCCCGGAGCTGTTCGACTACGGCTTTATCAGCCCGGCGAACTTACACGTCGTTCGCAACCACGGCGCGGTGCCGCGACTGGCGTGGGAGACGCACCGGATCGCGATCGGCGGGTGCGCGCGCCAATCTGCATATCCCCTGCGCCGCGCGCCGCTAATTCGCCGACCCCCGTTGGCGCGGCCGTCGAACGCTTCGGACGCTTCTTCCTTTCTTTTCTCATCATCTTTGTCTTCGTCTGCGTCTTCGTCTTCGTCTTCGTCGCGCGTCGCAGGAACGTTCCCGACGCGTTCGAGCTCGGCATGGACGAGCTCGCGGCCATGCCGACGATCACGTTCCCGTGCCTCGTCGTGTGCGCCGGGAACCGACGCAAAGAACAAAACATGATCAAAAAGTCCATCGGGTTCAACTGGGGCCCGAGCGCGGTCGGGAACACGTATTGGAAGGGCGTCCCGCTGCGTCTGTTGCTCAACCGCGCGGGGATCCACGCGCCGGGACCGGGCGCGCGGTTCGTCTGCCTCGCCGGCCCCGAGGGCGAGCTCCCGAAGTCGTACGACGGGCAGGACGGCGGGCCGGGGTCGTACGGGACGTCGATCGACATGGAGACCGCGTTGGATCCGACGTGCGACGTGATCGTCGCGTTCGAGCAGAACGGCGAACGGTTGCACCCCGATCACGGATTTCCGTGTCGCGTCTTGATTCCCGGATACATCGGCGGCCGGATGATCAAATTCCTCACGAAAGTGATCGTCACGGACGGCGAGTCGAAAAACTTTTACCACTTCAACGACAACCGCGTGTTACCCGTCGGCGTGGACGCGGAGACCGCCACCGCGGACGGGTGGTGGTTCAAGGAGGAGTACATCATCAACAACTTGAACATCAACGGCGCCATCGCGTATCCAAAGCACGAAGAGGTCATCCCCGCGGCGGCGAAGACGTACACGATCAAAGGCTACGCGTACAGCGGCGGCGGGCGCAAAGTCATCCGCGCGGAGGTGAGCTTCGATCAGGGGCAATCGTGGAAACTCGGCGACGTCGTCGTCCGAGAGAAGCCGCGATGGGCCGCGGGGTCCAGCGGCGACAAGGCGAAGCACTGGTGCTGGTGTCACTGGGAGATTAAAGTCAACGCGAGCGCGATCGCGAGCGCGAACGAGATTTGCTTTCGCGCGTTCGATCAATCCCAAAACTCGATGCCGGAGCGACCGACGTGGAACGTGATGGGTATGCTCAACAACCCGTGGTACCGCGTCCGCGTGCACGCGCACCCGAGCGGCGGCGTCATCCTCGAGCACCCCACCGTGGCGGGGCCGACGCCGGGGGGATGGATGCAGAAGATGGCGGCGGAAAAGAGCGGCGGCGAATTGCTGTGGGGGTGGGGCGGAGAGGGGGGACCCGCGGCGCCGCCGAGGCCGACCGCGCGGGCGTAGGCGGAGGCGGAGGCAGACGAGACGAGACGAGACGAGACGAGACGACGCGCGCGTGTCTTATTCTTACTGTAATTAACCTTCCCTGACTTGTAGTACCTACCTCATCGGCGTCGTCGTCGCGTTCATCTGCGCGCGCGCGCGCGGGTCCCCCCCCCCGCTCCGTCACCTGACGCCGTCCCACGGCTCGAGCTTATCTCTCACCTCCTTCGACAGCGTGCTCAGGTTCGGCGTCCACTCGTCCACGTGCGCGAGTCCCCCGCGCGCCGATCCCTCTCTCGACGCCACGCCGACGGCGAGGAGCATCCCTTTGGAGGATATCCGACGTATCCCTCGCGTCGACCCGCCGCGGCTCGAGCCGTCCGGAGAGTTCCCGCCCGATGTTCCCGGGGGCGTGCTCGCCTCCGCCGCGCTGTGCAGCGATCGCGCGAGCGCGCTGAAGGACGCGTTTCGTCGAAGCACGGGCTGCTCCAGGTTATCGTAGCACTTCTCCCGCTGCGGCGAGCCGGGCGCGGCCGCGACGCCCGCGCGCGCGTCGGCGTCGTCGTTCGCCGCCCCCGTCGCGGTCCTGAGCGCGTCTACGAACTCCTCCCAGCACATTTGGACGTCTTCGACGTCGAGGTACTCCCCGTCCGGGTCGTCCGCGAACACTCGAGACAACGTCGCGTGGTGCATGCGCACGATCTCGAACCCGGGAGATTTTCTCTCCGCCTCCGAGTCTCGGCTGTACTTTTCCCAGATCGTCTTCAGCGTGCGTCGGTCCTCGCGCGTGCCTCGGTACAAGTGCGCGACGAAGTCGATCACGGCGAAGGAGCCGTGCTCGTCCTCGAACGGCATCGCGGCGGCGGCCGCGTGTCGCGACGTGAGGCGCGAACGACAGTAAATCGGCGTGAAAAACGTTGACATCAAGAGTGGTAAAATCTATCAGATCTCCAGCACGTGATTTTTTGGCAGGGGGCGGCTATTTGGCGTTTCAAACCGCGCGTTCGCTTAGCGATCGGTCGCACGACGCTCGCGTCGCGGTCGCGACGCAATGGATCGATCAAGCGCCGCGGTCGACGACTCGCTCGAAAGGACGCGTCAACGTCCCGCACCACACTTCCCACACCTCCGAAACCTCTCGAGTCGTCTCGACGCGCGGACGCTTCGCTCGACACACACGTCGCCGCGTCGTCGTCCGCGCGCGCGAAGAACGTCGTCGTCGTCGTTGTCGTCCTCGCGCGCCGCTCGCGTCGAATGGGTCCGTGCGTCTCGAAGACGTTCGAACCGCCGCCGTCCGTCGTCGTCGTGCGCGATCGCAAGTGCCACGACGATTATCGCGTCGGCGCGAAGATCGGCGAGGGCGCGCAGGCGGTCGTGTACGAGGCGCGCTGCAAAGTCACGGGCGCGCGCGTCGCGGTGAAGCGCACGCGCGCGAGCTCGTTCTCGAACGCGAAGCTCGACGATGCGCTGCGCGAGGTGGAGCTCCTCCGGCTGTGCCATCACCCCAACGTCATCGAGGTCCGGGCCGCGTATCGATCGAATCGCGACGTGTGCGTCGTCCTCGAACACTGCGACGGGTTTCACCTCGTGCAGTACTTGGTGCAGCTGGACAAGGAGCTCGACGCCGGGAGGCCGGCGCGCGAGATCACGGACGAGAAGACGTCCGTGCTGCGGCAGCTCGTGGACGCGGTCGCGCACGTGCACTCGCGAGGCGTGGTGTTTCGAGATCTGAAGCTTCAGAACGTCATGGTGTCGAGGGCCTCGCCGCGAAGGGTGACGCTCATCGACTTCGGACGCGCGGCGCACATGACGAGGGAGGACAGGCGAACGCAGAAGACGCCGCCGATGGGGACGTCGCTGTTTATGGCCCCGGAGGTGGAGTCCAGGGACGTGTACGGGCAGCAGTCGGACATGTGGGCGCTCGGCGTCATCGTCTACTTTTTCGTCGGCGGTCGAATGCCGTTCGAGCACTCGGTGAGCGGTCTGTACAAGGTCCTCATGGGTCAGTACGAGCCGTTCGACAAGTGCTTCAGCGATCAGGCCAAGGACGTCGTGAGTCGGCTGCTACTCGTCGACCCGGATTCGCGATTGAACGCGCCGCAGTGCGCGCAGCACTCCTTCTTCTCCGCGAAGGGCGCGTCCGCGGCGGCGGCCATCGCGAAGAAGCTTCCGACGCGCGTGCGGACGTCGCCGGCGACGATGCGCGCGTTGGAAACGCACGAGTCCATCGTGACCGGGACCGCGAGGTTGCTCGCGGAGACGCTGAACGACGAGGATTTACTCACGCTGCAGCACTGGGTCGAGATGTCCGCGGAGACGACCTTCGCGGAGGAATCCGCCGGGTCGTCGAGAGGTCGCCTCGAGGAGGAGTCCGTCAGAGCGTCCAGGCGCTCGAAAAGTGGCGCGGGCGCGGGCGGAGGCGGAGGCGGAGGCTCCGCGCGCTCGAAAGACGCCGCGGCGCCCGGGTCGGGGTCGCCGCTGGAGAGGCTGTACATCGAGATGCGCGACGTCGGCGAGGCGAGCGTTAAGCGCGGAAGGCTCTCCCTGGACGGGCCCGAGGAGGCGCCCGTGATGGCGTCGTCCGCGCCCGAGTCGTCCGCGCCCGCCGCCGCGCCGCCCGAGTCTTCTTCCTCGACGTCGACGCGACGCGGGAGCGAGTTCCTCGCGCGCGGGGGGCTCCTCGCGACCGCGCACAAGCACGGGTACTGCTCCTTAGACGAGCTCATCGCCGCGTGTCACAGCACTGGGTGCGTCTCCCTCGGGGAGGCGATCGAACGCGTCAAGGTGAGAAGGCCCGTCGTTTCGTTTCGTTTCGTTTCGTTTCGTTTCGTTTCGTTTCGTTTCGTTTCGTTTCGTTTCGTGGTCGCTCTTCGCCCGCGCGTCGCGGTCGTGCTTCTCTTTTCGTATCCTTTCTTTCTTTTCCTTTCGACGAGGGGTGGGCGGGGAGATGCGACGGCAAAAGTCCTTAAGGATCGGCGTTCACCACGCGGACGGGGTCGTATGGGGACCAGTGTATAGAATGCGCGCGCGGTCGACCGGCTGGGCGAACCGTTCGACTGACCGACGCGCGCGTTCCGTTCCATTCCGTTCGCCCGCCTCCCTCCCGCCATCCTCTCCCGAAATTGAAATTCCCTCTCGACTCGACAGGACGAACTCCGAAAGCGACGCGTGGACGAGCTGATGCGAACGGGTCTGAAGACGACGGCGCAGAGCAACGCGCTCCTGGACACGATGTTGTTCCGGTACCGGGAGCTTTTCTCGAGGGTTACGACGCTGCGCGAGGAGATCGCCGGGGAGAGAGAGACGGAGAGGGAGGACGCGGACATCGCGCCCAGCCAATCAGCTCACGCCACGTCGTCTTCGGACAGCGCGTCGATCCAATCAGGTCGCGCCACGAGGGAGAGGGAGGGGAGGCGGGGGGAGGGCGCGGGGTCGGGGTCTGCGGCGTCGGAGCGGCCGACGAGCGACGTCGCTCGAAGAGCCGCGGACGGCGAAGCGCGCGCGGTAGGGTAGCGCTACTATAGGACGTCTTTCTTCGAACGCGCGCGCCGCTCGCGCCGCCTACGCTACGCCGCGCGCGCGCGCGAACCCCGCGCGAACCCCGCGCGCGTCGACGCGCCGCCCGCGTCCGCGTCCGCGTCGCCTCTCGCTTCCTTCACTTCGCCTTTTTGCTCTCGCTCTCCTTCGCACCCGCCGCGATCTCCGCCTTGCGCGCCTCCACCGCGGCCTTGTCGAACGTCATCGTCGTCTTGCTCTGATACGGTCTCAGCTCGTGCAAGAGCGCGCCCACGAGCCCGAACCCGACGGCGCCCCAGATGAACGGCTTCAAGTCCGCGGATTGCCCCGCCTCGTTGCGGACGTGCGCGGCGAGAACGATCGAGGCGAACGAGCACAGCGTGCAGACGAGACCGCAGTACTGGCGGAAGTAATACCGAGCGTCCATGACGTTTCCGTGCTTGTCGCGCCGCGTCGTCGTGGAGGTCGTCGCCGCGCCCGCGGGGGTCTTGGAAGCGCGCGTCGATGCCATCGTAGGTGTGCGCGCGGGGCGTCGTGGAGTGACGACGAGGTCGCGATTGTTTCGAGGAATGGTTGAAGTGCCGACAGCGCGCGCGGCGCTTCGCGGACGAAAAACGCGGCGGAGCGGGCTGGCGCTTCGAGGCAGCGTTTCGCCGCCGACGCGCAGTCAGAGACTCGCGCGATTTATTTGGAATTCCCGAGATTTCGACGCGTCGTCACTGCAAACCCATACGAATTCATAAATTAAAAAATTAAAAAATGAATAAAAACGCGACGCACGCGCGGGTAGTCTGCACGGAGAGACGCGAAAGGGCGACCTTTCAGATTCGAAGAGGCCGTTAGGGACCGTTACGGACAATCAGTCTCGAAAAAAGTACAACTACAACCACCTCCGTAACTTTTTAACACTTTTCTCCCGAAACGCCCCCGAGCGCCGAGACGCGCGCGCATAATACCTCCCTCGAGACTCGAGACGCGCTCGACGACGACGGCTCACCGCGACCGCGCGCGCGTCAGGAAGACACGCGCTCCGCGTCGTCGCTCGGCGAACGAATCTCCCCGCCCGCGCGCGTCGGAACGCGCTCCACGTCCTCGCGTCTCCGACCGCGCGCGCCTCCGTCTCCGTCCGCGTCTCGACGCCGCGACGCGCCCGTCGGACATCATGGCGGACGCCGACGCGCCGCTGGCGAAGCTCGCGTCGTTCGCGCAGGGGGCGGCGATCGGACTCGCGCTGCGGCGCGCCGCGCGCGCGCTGCTCGACGCGCGCGACGACGACGACGACGACGACGCGGGGAAGAAGCCCCTGATGGACGATCTCGAGTTCGCGCGCGCGCTGACGCGCGTCGGCGGGGACCTGCGGCATCACGTCGCGCGCGGCCGCGACGACGACGACGACGCGCGACCGGACGTCCTCGACGTGAACACGCCAGATTTCTGGATCTCGAATCGGTCTCGAGACATGACGCGCGTGCGCGGGAAGCACCCGATGAAAGCGGAACCCGCGCTCGGCGATCTCATCGCCCGCGGCGCGATCACGCCGACGAGGACGCACTACGTCGAGAACGTCTCGTCCGTCCCGCGCGCGGACGCGAAGACGCATCGCGTCCGCGTGTGCGGCGACGTCCGCCGCGCGCTGTCGCTGAGGCGCGTGCGCTTCCCCGCACGCCGTTCCTCGAGAGCGTTCTCGCCCGCCCCGCGCGCGTTCGTCGTGTTTCTCTTCGCCCAGGGTGGGTCCCTCGTTTTCAACGCCCGCCGTCGTCGACTCCATCTGACGCGCGTCTGACGCTCCGCCCCGACGTCGACGTTTATTTCCTCAGCGTCGCGAACCTCAAAAAGATGCGCGCGGCGACCCTCCCTGTGCTTCTCGCGTCGGCGGGGAACCGAAGAAAAGAGCTGCGCGCGATGACGCCGCCCGACGGCGGCGACGGCGTCGTCGGCGACGGCGGCGATTGGGGCGCCGGCGCGGTCGGAAACAGCCTCTGGACGGGCGTTCCGTTGCGCGACGTGCTGAAGCGCGCCGGCGTGACGCGCGAGACGCCGACGCGGCGACACGTGCACCTGTACGGCCTCGAGAGCGTCGACGACGACGGCGCGGGGCGCGAATACGGCGTGAGCATCCCGCTCCGCAAAGCGCTGGATCCCGCGCAGGACGTCCTCGTCGCGTACGCGCAGAACGGCGAGACGCTCACGCCGGACCACGGATACCCGGTGCGCGCCATCGTCCCCGGCGACGTCGGCGGAAACTCAATCAAGTGGCTCTCTCGCGTCGAGGTGCGCGAGACGCCGCTTCTCATCGAGAGCGCGCACGCGCGGACGCGAGACAACGTGTTCCCGCCGCACGTCACGACCGAGAAGATCGCGGAAAAAGAACGGTGGTGGACGAACCCGGACATCGCGATGCGCGAGCTGTGCGTGAACGCCGTCGTGTGCGCGCCCGCGCACGGAGACTGCGTCAAAATTACGCCGCGCGAGGCGAACGCGCCGTTCGCGATCAGAGGGTACGCGCACAGCGGCGGCGGGCGAGCGGTGACGCGCGTGGAGGTGAGCCTCGACGGCGGCGTCACATGGCGATGCGCGCGCGTGACGTGCCCGTGCCCGAGGACGGCGCACGGAAAACAGTGGTGCTGGGCGATGTGGTCGATCGACGTCGCGCGAGGGGCGCTCGCGAGATGCCGCGAAATCACCGCGCGAGCGTGGGACGAAGCACACAACACGCAGCCGCGCGATGTAACCTGGAACCTCCTCGGGTGCGGGAACAACGCGCACTTCCGCGTGAAGACGGAGGTCGTGGAGATTGAGGGGTGCCAGTGGGTGACGTTCGAGCACCCGACCGAGCCGGGCGACGGCGCCGGAGGGTGGATGGGAGGCGCGAGGAACGGGTGGTCTCAAAGAGTAGACGCGCTGTACGCGCCCAGAGCGGGGGAGACGCCGTCGGGCGAAAACGGTGTAGGCGACGTGAATCGTCGCGAGGTTCGGAAGATCGTCGCCCCGCCTGTGCGTGTCGCGGCGAAGACGGCGAGCGTCGCGAAAACGGCCGTTGAAGACGAACCGCCAAAGGAGACCGGGTACCGCCCGCCGCCCGCGGGGGCGAAAATCTTCTCGCTCGCGGAGATCGAGAAACACGACTCGGAGGACGACGCGTGGATTCTCGTGAAGGATAAGGTGTACGACTGCACGGCGTACATCGCGAGCGGCGCGCACCCCGGCGGGAACGCGAGCATCGTCATGAACGCGGGCACGGACAGCACGGAAGACTTCGAGGCGGTGCACAGCGCGAAAGCGTGGAAACAGCTCGACCCGTTTTTGATCGGGTACCTGGACCCCGCGGACAACCCCGACGCCACGATCGCGGACGTCACGATCGCTCCGGCGTCGGATCCCGCCGTCGTCGCGAAGCCGCCGCCGCCTTCTACGCCGCCGCCGGTCGCAGGACCGGTGAACCTTCTCCAGTTCGCGCTCGCGAACCCGGAGATGTACGGCGAGGGGACGCTGGTCGGCGAGGCCGCGGAGGCGGCGGCCTTCGACCGCATGTGGGCGGGCGCGCGGAACGACGCGGGCGACGCCCCGCGCGCGCTCGATCCGAAAAAGTGGCTTCAGCTCCGCTGCGACGCGAAGGTGCCGCTGTCGCACGATACGATCTTACTGCGCCTCGCGCTCGAGACGCCGATGCACCAGTGCGGTCTCCCCGTGGGGTATCATCTGTACTTGCGAGGCGTCTCGCCCGCCACCGGGAAAAAAGTCATGCGCGCGTACACGCCGAGTTCGCTCAACGGCACGCTCGGCGCCGTGGAGTTCGTGATCAAGATTTACTTCCCGAGGGGATCCTCAGAGTCGAC